CAATATAACATACAGTATTTGTCTTTACTAATTAATTTTAAGTAATTTGTGTTAACATTTATGAATTTGTGTTACTCTAAAAATGCCCAAAACACAAACATTCTCGCTTTGTGGCTTTATTTCTCAGAATTTGCTGAAGTGCAATGAACATACAAAATACACATGCCCAATATTATAAGCAATAAAGGGGAACAAATGTTCAAATCAAATTTGTCAGCCAGGACGATGAAGATGCATCTTATTTATAAAAACGGACATCATGCAGTCCTAAACTTAGTTAGCAGACTATTAAACTTGTGCAAACGAGTGTTTACATGCAGCAGGCTTTTGTTCAGAACAGAAGCACTGACATGCGCAGTTGCTAACCACCCCCGGCCAAAACAAAAAAAAAAGAGTATTTTACTTTCGTCATGAACGTAAACAAACAGCTTCTGAGCTCAGAATGGACCTGCAACGGCTTTTAGTGGGGGAGACGTTACTCCCTGGTTAAGCTACAGGTGACGGACGGACTTGTTATTTTTTATTTATTTATTTTTTGCGATGCGGGGTAGGATGTGTGTCTTCCTTCTTTACTGAATGAGAGGAGGAACAGTTCTGTGCTGCTGTGTGTGCTTGTGTGTGTAACAGTGCTGCTGTCCCTCCCTCCACTCTGCATTCTAAATGATTGACAGACCACCGACTAACATTTTCGTCCAGTCTCGTCTCGTCAATGAAAACTCACACACGTTTCATCACATCTTAGTCATCAAAGAGCTATGTTTATTTTGTTATCGTCTCGTTATCGTCATGAAAAAAGGAGGCGTCAATGAAAGTATTTCGTCATTGTCATCATTAATGAAAACAACACTGCCCACAACTGCTCATTGTTTGTAGATTAGCGTTAGCAACACATAATTGTTACCATGTTGTTTACTAATGGTGGCTCTTGAAGTCCAAAAAGGCATATGTGTCCTGTAGTTGGTTTGGTTTGAGCCTGGTCTATATTCACACCAGAAATGAGCCGCACCAGAGTTTGTTTAGAAGCGAACCAAGACCACCTCAAAAACAAGTCTTTGGTCCGGTGATTTGATCCGCACCAGGGTTAACAAGAGTGTATTCACACTTGCATAAACAGTCCGGACCAACAGGAGAAACAAACTCTGGTCCTTTTTTAAAGCCGACCAAATGTGTCAGGTGTGAATTCACCCTAAGTTACTCTTACTAAAGCTGGTTTTACAAATGTCTGAGTCTTGGGCTGGTCTTCATTTTTCACACACTGTTTTATTTAATAAATAACATAAATAATGGAATCTGACATGTCTTTTAGTTTTTACACTTGACTTTAAATTTGAATAATTTCAGAATGTGTAAAACATAAAGTACTCACATATTTATGATCAGGTCATTTAAAAATGTCTTCTTTATGTGGAAAAAAAAGCCTAGAATTAAAAGAGAACTAACTTTCTTGCTCAAATGTTATCAGATTCAGATCAGGCCCCATTTGGTTTTTAAATAGGACAGGACGTTGGCGTGAGGACATCCAGGGTTAAACTTCAGCCCCGTTCAGGCCTGCTCTACTCCTGAGCAGAGGTGGACTGATTGCATATCTGATGCTATTTATGTGTCACAGTGAACTTCATGGCTTTATGATGGTGCAGTTAATCTATTTAGGATCACGTTGTTCCTCAGTCAGTATCTTCTCTCTTCTTTTGTTCTTTTTTGACGTTTAAAAGTGGAGCTTCAGTGACCAGGGAATTAATCTCTTTTGAGCTTAATTTTAAAAACTACTTTAAAAATAAATTAGATTTTGTTGAAATTGTAGGTTATATTATGAGTACTGTTTTTTGTGGCAAAGTAGATAAATTGAAGGAATAAAACTTCAAAGTAATGTTTTTTTAAGTTAAAAGACTTGTATAATACCTGCAATATAATTAATCCAATCACATTTACACATCTCTCACTAAACTGCTGAGTTATGAATTGATGAGATAATAATTTAAAATTTCTTATGCAATTCAGCCTGTATAATGCTTGCCTTCCATATCTTATCTTTTGGCACCAATTAGCTTTGTGATAAGGTAATTGGAAATTGGACTTTATCTTTGTAATTGTTGCTGTTCTAAAGATTGTAAAAACCTTCCTGTGACCAAAAAAAAAAAAGTTATTGAACAGCTTTGCTGTGGTAATTTAAGCTTCAAATCAACGTGAGTCCACACGGACATCAAATTAAAAAAAATTAAAGTGTAGAAGCTGGCTTGATATTTGTTAGGTGAAATAAATAAAAATGTTTGTGATATTTGTTGACTTTAAAGTGCTATAAAGGCTCTGTCACACTATAATGTTTTAGACAACATATAAAAAATTTACGGACCTCTACGTTGAAGATGGAATAAAAAAAATCAACTGGAAGCCTGTTTTATGTGTGTACATACTGTAATGCTAACAAATCCATTAAATTTATATACAACTTTTATTAGTAATTTAGACATTAAAAAAATTTAATAGTTGGCACAAGTTGTCTAAAATGTTATAGTGCAACAGAGCCTTAAGACCGACAGTTTGAGGAAAATATGACTGCTTGAGTTTGGAGTTAATTATGGATATTGTTAAAGGGGCAATATCATGTAAAATCAACTTTTTTGAGTTTTAGATCATGTTGTAATGTTATACTCTCATAAAAAACATGCCCAGAGTCTTGCTTTGACTTATTCATGCAGCGTTTTTAGGCAGCCATGCTGAGGAGCAAAACGACAGGTGGGGACCAGAAACACCCCTGGGACGTGTCTTTAAGCCGAACTTCCTCATCACGGAGCACACCTCCCCACCCCCTCCCCACACGCCCTGCCCATGACTCCTGCAGGCTCTGGGTGAAAGTGAAAGTGAAACTTAAAACTGTCTGCTGAGCTCTCAACATTAGTTCTCACTCAGTGAAGCTCTTTTCAGATTAAAAATACGTTTGAGGAAATTTATTTTCAGATGCCAAGTAAACTGCATCATGGCAGCCTCCCCTCCTCCCCCTCGCGAGCGCGCCCCCCCGCACCGAAATGGGTGGGACAGAAGCGTATGGTGGTTCTTAAAGAGACAGAGGCCAATTTCAAGGCATTTAGAACAGGAAGTGATGATATAAGTTTATTTTCTATTTAAACATAAAAACAAAATTTTAATAACAACTAAAGGTGACACATGTAC